GGGGGGGGAGTCCAGGCTGCGGGGAGGCCTCCTAGCGGAGTAACACACCACCTGATTTTATTGATCCATTGGGGTCTTTTAGTCTGAAGTTTGCTTTGGGGGGGGGGTGTCTCGCCCCTCATGAATATAACAAGGCTGTTCCAATAGCTTCATATGCACTAATCCTTCCGATTCTGGGGAATATATATTAATGCCCAGTTCACTGAATAGTGCTGCTTTTCAACCACCAGTATCTGATCGTGCCTCATGGTTAAGGGTTTGGTCTGTGGCTCAGTGGGTTACACCTCTGTGGCTGTTATTAGAAGGTTGTTGGTTCAGATCCCAGGGTCGGCAGAGCCATTTCACCATTAGGCCCTTGACCAAGGCCCCTAATCCCCAACTGGATGAATGTATCCTGACATCAACATAGCAAATGTACATGTTCTTCCTGAAGCTGACAGCATAACAGTGCTGAAGCTAATACACTGCCAACGGGAAAGCTTCAGAAAGCTTCCATGTATAAATAGGCATGACTTATGTGTGATCATTGTTAAAGGATGTAAACAATTTCAGGCTCTCCAGTGTTTAAGTGTATTACAGTAATGTTTGATTGAATCGAACGTCACTCTTGTTTTCTCTCCTTTTTGCCGTCTGTTCCCAGAGTTCCCAGAAAACCAAGTTCTATGTGCTCTCTATGTTCCCCTACCCGTCTGGTCGGCTGCACATGGGCCACGTGCGAGTGTACACCATCAGCGACACCATCTCACACTTCCACAGGATGCGAGGGTGCCAGGTAGGTCCGCCTTCTGCCGGAACGTACTGGAAATCTGGCAGGGAGTCTTGTGAAGAAGGTTTCTGTTTAGGTTCAGCAGAAAGATTCAAGACCCAATGTCTGCAGTTTATCTAGCGCTGCAGTAGTATGATTCTGAGTTTTTAATTTAACTGAACAGATGAAACAGAAAGACTATGAATACTAGTGCTACATCAGTGTTAAGTATTAGTGTGTTCATTATTTTTATATAAGACTCTCTGGATGTAATATGCCCAGAGACTCATATTTAATTTAATTCTTAATTTTATTAAATATTGAATGATGCATTACACTGTCAATAGTTAAGAACATCACCAATTTAATCTGCTGGTTGCAAAGCAATTAATGTGTTTCATATGTTTGGTAATAGCAGAGAAAATAATCAGAAGAGTTAAATAGTTAAAATACACATTTTTAAAAGTGAATAGGATATATTTTTGAGCATAACTTTTTCTAACTACAGAATGTGAATTCATTATGGTGTCTGACTGCTGACTGAAGGTCTGTAAACCAAACCTGTGACTGCAGATTCCTATTGAGTGTATAGAAATAGAGTCTTTAATTAGCCTGTCTGGGGTGTTTCTTTCTGGGCTATGTAATGCCTTTTAATACTGACTCTGTATTAGCACTGTACATTTTACTGAGTGTTGTGTAACTTGTGTGTGACTCATTGGTGCGCATTCAGTGTCAATGTATGGAAAGTGTACTCTTTACTGGGAGAAAGGGACGATTTGTTTTTACCATGAAAATGACAGTTATTACTGGATATGTTCCTTTGCTTTGACAATCTTGCTCAATAACGCAAATATCTTTAACTAAATAATCAAATAAAAATGTTCCTTTTTAATTTAATTTTGGAATTAAATGCTTACATTCCATGGAATCCAGTGAATTTTGCTTAACTAATGTGATAATTCTTTCCAGAGAGTGTAATTCGGTGAGTTTGAAAAGTGATGCTAAGGGGAACATGGATTCTGAGGGCCTTGCATGCCTCACTGGACTGTATCTCTGCAGGCGTGGGGGTTTATTCATGTGTTTGTTGTGTAATTCAGGAGATTATATGGGGCTAATTTAAATCACGGATTATGCACCAGTGCTTCTTATCAGAAACACATTGTGGGTTCTTGTGATTTTCTCTGGTTTCAGGGAACGACACACCTGTGGTCGTTTCAAAAGCCAGTTCCTGTGGCAGAGGATTGTGGGCATCTGTTTTCTCTGCAGCACCTTCCATGAGAACCCTGTCAGAGACCATTAGTGGCATTTAACGGGTGCAGCATCCACAGTCAGGCGTGTGTGAGGAATGTGCAGTGACCCAGCATGTGAGGCTGGGCTTAGATCCACTGGAGACTGGTGCTCAGATTGGAGGTGTCATTCAGAGAGAGAAGGTCAGCACTAGTAGGAAGTTTTTTGGAGGAGGTCTGCTCAGACAGCAGATGTCTCAGATAGAGAAGGTCAGCTCACGGAAAGGTATCTCAGATATTTATGCCTTTTGGGGATTGGCGATCATGCAATGGCACCATTTACTCTCCTGCTATGGTATATGACTCTCAGATGTACCCCTGCTATGGTATATGACGCTCAGATGCACCCCTGCTATGGTATATGATGCTCAGATGTACCCCTGCTATGGTATATGACGCTCAGATGTACCCCTGCTATGGTATATGACGCTCAGATGCACCCCTGAGGTTGGCTGTTTTCTTGGGTGAAGCATTCTGTGCCATAAGATTGGCCTGAAGATTTAAGACGCAGCATAATTTTCACATGACAGGGCAACACAGCAGTTTTGTCGACGAACCATGGGGACTGATCACTATGGTTGTCAAGGCAACCCAGTGTGGTATTCCGAACAGGGAAAGTCTTCTCTCAGTGGAAGGACGTGGCACACATACAGAGCAAAGCTGTGATTGGCTCGTTCTGCCGCTACCTTGTGTCAGAAAAACGACATGTTAACGTGCTGGAGTTACCTCCATGCAGAGTACAGCTCTGGTTAAATTTGATTGGCCAGATTTCCTACACATTCCAGCTGTTCAGAGGCTCCATGTTCCTTGTTGGGTGGACAGAGGGAGATGATGAGTGTGGGTGATGAAGAAGGTGCAGTCGGGAGGCCATCAGTACAGTTATGGTGAATTGTGATATTCCTATTTCAGCTGGTATAAATTTGGGGCTCATTGTTGACTTTAGGGTGGAAGTTTGATAGTACAGGAGACACAATCACAAGCAGCATATGGAAGATAAGCCTGTAACAGTTCTTGTCTGCCATTGTGTGCTAACCTGTCATTAAGATTGGGAAGCATTCATGTATGTTGAGGTAAATGATCAAAATTTACAGCAGATGTTTTCCACAAAGGGTGTGAGTTAAATGAGGTAAAACTAGTTTGCATGAGACAGAGGAACGCAAAGGTTCCTGCTGCTCGGAGTCAGGCAGCCCGTGTCGGTGATCTTGGCCGGCCCAGTTCAGCCGGCTTGCACGTCACCCACAGGTGCTGAATCCCATGGGCTGGGATGCGTTTGGACTCCCTGCGGAGAACGCTGCCATAGAGCGGGAACTGGACCCGGAGGACTGGACCAAAAGGTACTGCTGACTTCATCTGACACGCCACTTTCTCCAGTGGTCGGGTGAGGAAGACTCAGCACAGGCTTACTGTAGCTAAGTAAGGGGGGGTGCGGGTTCTGGGACTCCAGTCTGCAGCCGCAGCTCCTTAGCCTCCCTGGGGGGGGGTCCTGTGGCTCAGCAGGTTCAGAAGGTCACTGGTTCCAGTCATGGGGGTTGACAGAGTGTTTCCTCTTTGGACCTCTGAGGAAGGCCCAATTGTTCCAGGGACCGTTTGACCCAGCTTTCACAATTAGATTTAAATAAATATAAAATGTAAAATACTGTTTTTCATAATTGTCTGCTGGGAGGCTCCTGTTCAACTGAATTACAAATACATCCCTAGGAGTCAAGGAATGAAGAGTAAATTATAAATTAAATTATTAGTAGCTCAGTGTGGTTGAGACCCTCTTTAACTCACAAACATAAAAAAAATGTTTTTTCATGCACATTAATGTGAACTTAGCATGATGAAGCACGTTCGCTGTTAATATGGCCGCTTAGCATGGCCCAGCCCTGGCTCCAGGCTGGAGTCTGGGGGCCCTTCGTGTGCGGTGTCCTGTTTCTGCCGCGTGCTCGCGTCTGTATGGTAAATACTCCTTGTATATTCATGATTCGCCCCATGATCTTGGTATTAAGGGTTAGGGTTAGGTTTTACCACCCAAAGCCTTACAGTTCCTTTCTCTGCCTGAAGGGGGCACATGGTCCAGTACTAGTGACTCTGGATTACATGTCGTATTGCATCAGCGATGTGCAGTTTTCTGTATATGACAGGGAACCAGACGTTATGTGTTAAGCTTCAACAAATGTTTCATTTTTTTTCCTCAATCTGCACTTGAACCCATTTTCTCTCTCTTCCTCTTCCTTTCCTTCTCTTTTCCATAATGATTTTTTCCTTCCCCCTCTCAGTAACATCCAGTTCATGCACGAGCAGCTTGACGCCCTGGGGTTGTGCTTTAATTGGGACAGGGTGAGTCCCCGAATGCTGCCCATGTGTGTCCGTGCGTGTTTCCCGGCCGCTTCTCTGTTTCTCACAGTCACCTTGCTCAGAATGCCCCCCCCCCTTTGTACCTGTGTGTTTGGTACAGTGGTAGCAGGCAGTGTAACGCTTAAGGACACGCACACATTGTTAGTGTTCTGCAGCACTAAACGTGAATATAATGAAAATAAGCAGCTATATTCATCCAGGTTGAGGCTGCTCTCAGATTTGGTAGGAGACGTGTAAGCAATAATGATTATATTTATAACAATGACGACAATGGTGATGATTTTATTTTGTACTTTATTGCTTGTGATATTAAAATGATTGAATTTTGGGTTATCCAAAACTTATTAAAACACTTTAATATAGAAAAACAAGTGCCGTCCTGTAAGTGTGAAGGTGCTGTTGTTGTTCCCCGGCGTTTATCAGTTCAAATTCTCTCTGCAGGAAATCACCACCTGCTTGCCTGAATACTACAAGTGGACACAGTACCTCTTCATCAGACTGTTTGAGGCTGGATTAGCCTATCAGAAAGAGGTGAGAGTTTGATGGACAGGTCGGCACTCTTCAGACTCAGGCTGTTTGAGGTGGGAGTAGCCAGCCTATCAGAAAGAGGTGAGAGTTTGATGGACAGGTCGGCACTCTTCAGATTCAGGCTATTTGAAGTGGGAGTAGCCAGCCTATCAGAAAGAAGTGTGTTTGACGGACAGGTCGGCACTCTTCAGACTCAGGCTGTTTGAGGTGGGAGTAGCCAGCCTATCAGAAAGAGGTGTGTTTGATGGACAGGTCGGCACTCTGGTCGGCCTTGTTTTTGCTCCTGACACAAAAAGAGTGAAATTGTATGTGCTTCCCAAAAATTTAATTATTAAAAATATTAAACAAATTTTTTAGAATTTCTTGCATATTCTCACAGTGCAAAGTTCAGTATTCTTGGGGGATGTATGTATAAACATAATATGTTCAGGATATATTCACTTTTTATGTGATTGTTAAAACAAAAATTTGCTCACCCTGGTCACTTGTGTTCTTCTACACTGTGTACAAGCCTTGGTTTCTTCTTCTTCTGGACTTCATGGAAAGTCCAATTAAACCTCAGCTTCAGATAGCAGGACGTTCACTTGCATGAGGGTGTCACCTGCATCCTACGCAGGCGCTTGTGAACTGGGACCCCGTGGACCAGACGGTTCTGGCGGACGAGCAGGTGGACGAGACCGGGCGCTCCTGGAGGTCGGGGGCGCTGGTGGAGCAGAAGCTGCTGAGACAGTGGTTTATCAGGACCACCAACTATGCCAAGGTGGACACCCTCTCTATGGAGATCACTATACTGGTGGTGTGACCTGCCGTCCATTTTGTCTGTAACGTGATGATACCCGCTGGGGGTATCAGCCTGTGTTTCACTCAATGCCGGCGCCCCAAAAAACAGTCACTCGGAGGATATTTCTCTGCCTCTTCTACAGTATGTCTATGAAGCCCCCTCTGCGCCTCTGGTTAGGGTTAGTAGGCCTTGCCGTCTCCAGCATCCTCCTCAGATCAGAGCCCACCAATAAAAAAAGACTTGGCACTTAATATCCATCAGTATAAGCAAGTAAAGTGTCTTCTGAAGATCAGGATGGGTGCTTGACAGCTGCTGGCAAGTGAATGGAAGCACTGCTTTATGCAGTGGCAGAGAAGACCCCCCCCCACCCCCCCACAATGGCATAACCAGGCTGTGTGCTGCTGTAAGACATGGGGGAGGGGCATCAGCTCTGCAGTAGTGACTGTTGTGGCAATTCTTTAATCAGGTCCGACAAAACGACAGGCAAACTTAGCTGAGATTGTTTACTCTGCAGAGGGGCGTGTCACCCAACAGCGTGCTCAGTGCAGTGCCGGGTACGGCTCCGCCTTCCTTACCCCAACCATAGCATCTTTTATAGTGCAAAACCACAAGTCATGTGACCTTCAGCGTGCACTCATTTATAAGGACAGAACGTTGATTTTGTCTTTAATATTCACATAGTTCTTGTGCAGTTCTGCATTTTTTTTCTTTATCTTTCACCTGCTTCGTTACTTGGCTTCTCTTTCTGCTCTGTTTAGTCTCTTAACCATAGAGTGGCTCAAATATACTTGTTAGCGACAATATTACATTTAATTAAGGCCTTTGTATACCTTTTCCCACGCAAACATATATTGCAATGACATTTCGTTTGAAATTGTAATACGCATGCATTGTAATATAAGATATATGCCTTTGGTTTTTCTAGAGTGTTACCAGCGTGCAGTGCGGGGGTGCAGTGGTTAGTACTGTCGCCTCACACCTCTGGGACCAGGGTTCGAGCCCCTGGCTCCATGGGACCAGGGTTCAGAGCCCACTGGCTCCATGTGTGTGGTTGTGGGGTTTTCTGCAGGTACCCAGGTTTCCATGGAATTGCCAGGCGTTCTGTAGATGCTGTGATGGTTGGTGCCCCATCCATGCCGTTCACCCCTGGTTTCCAGGATAGACTCTGGAGCCCCCTGTGACCCCGAATAGGATAAGCAGCTACGGAAAATGGATGGATGGGTTGTTATCAGGGGTTCAAGCTATTTCACATGCTTTCAGCCTCAGTGTTCTTGCTGCACTCTGACTCCCAAGTCTAGCATTTTCTCACCTTGCAGACACTGGTGCAGCAGGCATATTGTGAGTAAATATAGAGATTGAACTAACACTCAGGCTCATTTCTCTCTTATCAGAACCTCAAAGATCATGCTTCTTACTGATGGAGATCTCCATCACAGACCCTGTGAGGACGCTGCTGGGGCTGCGTTACAGTTTTTAGTTATTTTAGCAGACGTTTTTATCTAAAGCCGTGTGCATTTTTGAGAAAGCAGGGTCAGGATGTCCCTGGGGCTGCTGGGGGTTATTGAGCATCGCTCAAGGGCTCAAAAATGAAACCGCTCTGCCAATCTAGGGATTTGAACCAACGCCCTTCAGCATCCTGCCCCGCAGTGTCACACCCAGACATAGACCCAGACAGCTCCATTCTCACACATACTCAGATGCACACACATGTTTAATGAGCAGTTCCTTCTCCACCCAGACTCTCAGTGTGCAGGCTGATGTTATTTACTGTCTGTCTCCATACCCAGGCCCACTAACCCTAATCCCAGTGACCCGTATTTATATGGCAGTGAAAGTGAGAAGTGACCCTTGGTAATATCTGCAGTTGCAGATACATCCAGACACAGACGCACAAACACCTACACTCTGCCCATTAATTTCACCCACAATGGATTTTATAGCTTTGCTCGGTTGCTATGGCGATACGTCAGATGGGTCTCTGGGCATATTGTCAAGGTTAGGCATGATTTTATGAAGTAGTGTTTGTATTTTTAGATGGATAAAGGGATTGGTTTGAGTTTTTTCAGTTTTTCTTTTTTTTTTGCTTGGCATTTCCTCTCCTCTTTCAGGGGTTTCTGTTCTCATGCTTCATTGTGTGAAAAAAAATCATCCTCACAGACTTCACAAAGCCATTTTCACAGACAGCAGCTACTAAAAGGTGGGACCTTAAACTATTGCCCTCTGAGAATCAAACAGCAGTGCAGATAGGACTTCAAGAAGAGACCCGATTAAACAGATTTATCTACCGTGTCCAACCTTCCAGGATATGAAATGCATGGTGTTTTTCCAGACATATTCTCAACTCGGCAAAATTAAAATTAACTTAATGCAGTGGCTTTGGGAGAAGTTGAGCAGAATGAATGAACCCTGAGAAATTATAAATGATTATAAGAGTCTTGGGGATGGATTGTGACCCCCCCCCCCCCACATAATTTACCCACCATGCCCCTGTGTTTCACAGCCTCTTTTAGATGCCCTGGCTGACCTCCCAGAATGGTACGGAGTCAAGGCAATGCAGGCCAACTGGATCGGGGAATGTTCCGGATGCTATTTCGACTTAGTGCTGAAGGTACCCCCTGCTCGCCCAGCTGGATGAATGACCCTTCAGAATGCCCAGGTGCTGCTGGTTCAGCTGTCCAGGGCATATACCTTTGGCACCTGATACCATTTCTCAGTTCAGGAATATGCTTTGATTTTATTATAAGGAAAGTAAAAATCCCAGCAGATAGTCTCAGTCTTGACCCTTAAAGGTTATAAATAGGTCACTGTGTTGCTCCTGTACTCAGTGACCTTTCATTTGTGCTCCCTTGGCTATAGTTGGTTGTGTTCCAGGACTATGTGACTGAGAGCTGATGATAATTGTTCCGCGAGGACGTTCGGTGCTTATTAAACTGTAAATCGGATTTGTAGTGAGGGCTTACTGACTCTCTGGAGTTCGGGAAAATGGGCAGACTGATAGCAGATGTGTAATTAAGGGTGCTGGCAGCGAAGGCTTTGGCAGAAGTGTGTCACGAGCCTCCTGCAGATTCACCTGGTTTACTTCCAGCCCAGCAACATCACGCAGTTCTCCTTTGGTCCATATCACAGAGGTGGAAAGTTCAGGTCCAGAAAGTGGAAATCCAGACCAAGATTTTGTTTCAACCAACCAGTTGAGTATAAAGAGTCACAGTCACAGAATGCTGAATTGCTTGGCTGAAACAAAATCTTGGTCTGGATGTATACTTTCTGGACCTGAACCTTTTCGCCATGGAGACTGACGACTTGGTGCCAGACGTGGATAGTTCAGGTCCTGAAAGTACAAATCCAGACCAAGGCTTCGTTTTAACCAACCAGTTGAGTACTCTGTGACTGACTCTTCATACTTAATTGGTTGGTTGAAACTAAAATACGGTCAGGATTTCTTCTTTCTGGACCTTCCCCCCTGCTTGGCGCTATGTGGAGAACTTGCTGGGTGTGGAAGCAGGCAGATGGTTTCATGTCTCATGTCCTCCAGACAGACAGTGGTCTTCGTGGCTTTTTCACAGGTCGACGGGGAAGAGGTGGGGGAGACTTTGAAGGCCTACGCTTCCGCCCCGGAGATGGTGTTTGGTGCCGCCTACGTCTCCATCCTGCCCTCACACCGGCTGCTACGCGGCTCCAGCCCTGTCCGGCCGGCCTTGGAGAAGGACTTCCAGCCTGGGAAAGGTGAGGAGGGCCTGTGGTGCCTGTCTGTGTGTCTTCGTGCGTTTCACTAAGAATCTGCTTTATCGGCAGTGATCCGGAAATGAAGAAGCGGAGGATTAAACCTCATTATCTGTCTGCCTCTTGTAACTCTCAGTTAATTACGACCCTCCCTCTCCACAGACTGCCTGACCTCTGTCACCGCCCGTAATGTGTTCACTGGCTGTGAGATCCCTCTCATCATCTCTTCCCAAGAGGAATTTCAGGGTCATCTGGACACTGTGATAGGTGGGTGTGTGTGTGTCACAATAAATCCGACCTGGATTGGGGCCACAGGGGCACTGGCCCCAGATGGAAGATGACTGGCCCCCAGAGTGCTCTTCCCCTGCCACTCATAGATTCAAAACATATCATTGGCTAATGATAAGATTGGCCCTTCTGTATAAATTATGGCCCCTAACAAAATGTCACCTTGGACCCACCTAATTTTAAGTACAGTTTTACATATTCAAGGGTCCCTGTCAAGTGCTGGATGCCCCTGAATCTGCCACGGCATCCATTACCCTCTGATGCCCCTGCCTGTTATGCACCCCCCACCTTATAAAAATACTACAATTGGCCCTGATTACAAAGGAAATGTTTTAGTGTGTTTCAAAGGGTGTGTGTTTGTGCTTCTGTAAGTGCCATGCATGTGTGTGTGCACAGATTTCAGTTCTTAATTCTGATTACTAAATACTAGTTGACTTTTTTTTTCATTTAATATTCAGTTATCCATATTGTTAATAGTTATCCTGCTTTTCCTAGTCAGGGTTGTGGGGATGTAACGTTTATCAATTAACTTAATTGTAACATTTTTTTTAATTATACACAAATATTACAAATAAAATATTGTGGGTCAAATGAACACACACCTACAACAGTGTTAGACTGGGGACCCCTGTAGTAGATTTCCAAAATTCAGAAAATTTCTGTGGAGATTTGGTAAACTATGGGTTTATTTGGACTGAGTGAGTTTTGGTTTCCAATACCGTAAAAAATGATGGATATTTGCTCTTCAGTTGCATTAAATATCCAAACCCACCAGCTGCCGTATCTCCTGGACGGGGTGTCCTAGCAGTAGGGAGTCTGTAAAGGATGAGGTGTGAGTACATAAAAACATTGGTTTATGATTTTGTAGAGCGTTTTTGATCTGCTACTGAATTGATGTATTGTGCCTGAAAATCGGCGAAAAGGCTTTGAAACTACTTTCCCTATAATTCTCACTTGTAGAACCAAGTTTTTTGCCAAAAAAAGTGCAAAAAAACAGCAATATACAAGCAGGTGTGCAGCATTGGTTGGGATTAACACGAGGACACTTGTGGCTGTAATCTTTGCCAGACGTGCTTCTGCCAAATTTTGACGGGTCTGATGCTTTATGCAATCAGCATATTTTGGGTTTTTGCTAACATTTACTGTAGCCTCTTTACAGTAAACTTTTCACTTTCACATTTTGAGTTAAAAACATGCATCAGATTCCACAAAATAATTCCACAAAATTTGACGCCATTGGAAGAAGAATGTTCTCACTGTATATGTGTGTGTATAAAAATATCCTGGGGGTGTGTGTATTGTGTCACGTTTGTGTTCATGTTGTATTTATCGCAGTCGACTGGTTACAGCTACAATGTATTTTTTTTTATCTTTTAAAATTGTCATAAGCATACGCTGAAAATCATTTCACAACACCCCCACTCTGGGAGCACCATCTTCTGAGGGTGTGACTTAGCAAACCACCAATAACATCCCCCACCCTCCCGCAAATGTCACCTCCATCCAAGGAGAATTTCAGGGGTGGGGTGGGTGTACAAACAGTGAAGCTTCTCTAGGTAACTACATGGGCTTCTGCCAACACTGTGGTCTGAGTAGTGGAATGTCGTGTGCGTGTGTGTGTGTGTGTGTGTGTGTGTGTGGGGGGGGGGGGGGTCATGTATGGATTACATTATGTGGACCAAATGTCCCCACGATCTGATAAAAATTATTTAAGGAGAAACTCAGTTTTGACTGTAGTCAAACATTAAACTGTCTGTCTGTCTGTCTCTCTGTCTGTCTGTCTCTCTGTCTATTTGTCTCTCTGTCTGTCTGTATGTCTGTCTGTCTCTCTGTCTGTCTGTCTGACACAGGGCTTCCTGACAGCGCTGTTCAGGATGCGGCTCTTGCCCAGATGTTAGGCTTGAAGTGGGACTCCGTGCTGCAGGAACAGCCCGACGGAACCGTGACCCTCACCAACTCTGCCGAGGTAGGCGGACCCTGCGTTGGCTCCTCCCGTGACCTCCGCACGCTTTTCTTTTCTACACCTTCCTCCACCTGCTCTCTCACTGGACTCACCTCTGCATCACATGTTGGTCACCATATGCCCGCCTTCGGTGTTCTGGTGCCAGGCTGGAGAATTTTTCCCCGACCCGTAGCACTGCTCCCGATGTCCCGTCAGGACCTTGCGAGCTGAGACGCTGCCATAAATAAGATGGATTTGTGGCCAGGAGACCGTCGGCCTGGACGCTACAGCAAGCCACTAATCCTGAACTGCTTTCTTTGATGCCCATCTGTGATAAAACTCTGCTGTGCAGCTCATTTGGAAAAAATGAATCCTTTATGGAACTTTAATCCAAAGATTAGAAGATGTGAAGGAACAACTGTAGTGGGAAAGGTTACTGTCATCCTGAAGATGCCAGCTCTTACCATGGGGTGTCATCGCGTTGCCCTTCATCCACAGCTAATTGCCATATAGGTTGTAGTTGTTTAATTAAACATGGCCCTTCAAATGATCTGCTTTGCGTTGATCTTATGATTGTTGTTGGGATTGTTGCGGTTCAAGATCAGCTCTAAAGCTTGTGATCTTTCCAGTTCACAGGTCTCAGCAGGCAGGAAGCCTTCAATGGCATCACACAGAAGGCCCGGGAGAAGGGAGTGGGCGGCCACCTCACCAGCGCGAAGCTCCGCGATTGGCTGATTTCGAGGCAGCGATACTGGGGCACGCCCATTCCCATAGTACACTGCAGGTCGTGCGGACCGGTGCCAGTTCCGGCGGAAGAGCTGCCGGTCACCCTGCCCAAGCTGCCCGTTCTCACTGGAAAGGGGGCATCACCTCTAGAGACTGCCGCCCACTGGACTGACACCCCCTGCCCCAGGTCAGAGTTTAAACCAGGCTTAGAGGCAAGGAATGCTGGGACTTAGGGGTGGGGCATGTGGGAGCTTGAGGGCGGGACATGTAAGAGTGGATGGGTGGAGCTTAAAAGATGGTGCAGGGCAGGTCAAGTTAGGGGTGGGAAGAGGCGAAAAGGCGTTCTTTTTTTTAAACAGGCTTATCTATCAGCTCTGGGAGGCATTTTTACAATAGAAATATTGATAATTGATAAATGAGATTAAGGGTGGGGCTGGCATGGTGCTGCAGTAGGGCTACGTTGTGCATATGCCTGTGTGTGAGTGTGTGTGTGTGTGTGCGTATGTGTGTGTGTGTGTTTGTGTGTGTGTGTGTTTGTGTGTCTGCCCTGTAATGGGTTGGCTCCCCGTCATAGGTCATTCACTGCCTTGAGCCCAGCATCGGCTCCGGAACATTCCAAACTAGTGTAGGACAAGCGGAACTGAAGACGGATGTATGATGTCAGAAGGTGGAGGTGTGGTGTCTCCTTGGGGCCCTCAGGCCTTCTTCTCGACAAGAAGAATCATCTGAAGTGCTGTTGACACAGGGAGGTGTCACCGGAGTGTGGACCCTCCAAAGCCTTCAGACATCACGACACGTTCCCAGAACATTTGCCGCCGCTTGTCGCCTCCTCACAGGCGCTCAGACGCTACGTGCTTCGCCGGCATCGCCGCGGTTACTCGTGTTCAGCTCGTCCTGCTTGGCGTTCACCTGGCAGAAGTTGAGAGAGACGGAGGTTCTGTCAGCGTCAGACTCGGATGGGAGAACCGGGAGTCCAGCAGCGTGGAAGAAAGAGCCGTCCGCCCTCCTCGCCGAATGGATCCGTTAGCGTGCCGGTCGCTGAAGCACAGAGAGCACAGGCTACTGAGGACTGTATTCATGCAGATTATTATTAGACGCTGCTTGTTTTGACAGTGAGCTGAACTTATGCAATAAGCGACAGCGAGTCTCTGGAACACAGCGAGAGACGCCGTTACGTAAGTCAGCGAAACTCCCCCATCAGGGAGGTGCTGAGTCATCCTGGAGATGAGACGGAGCTGACACACTCGATTTTGGGCGCCTCTGATCTCAGGCCCTTAATGGAGGCACGTGCTCTGCAGCTGAGCATTACGCTGGCGAGGTGCTGTGGCGTATGTGCAGGGGAGTGGCGCTAGCGTGTGCGAGGTGCAGGGAGGTGCTCTGTGTCTGCATGAGGAGGAGGCGCGAGGAGGCTCTGAGGAGGTGACGACGTACAGATATATTACGCACTGCCACACTGCAGAAACAGCAGTAATGCCCCATTATGGGGGTGGTTTGTATCTTAGGCGGTTAGGGTGCTGTGCCTGTGACCACATGGTCGGCGGTTCAAGTCCCAGTGTCAGCAGAGTGATTTTGCCATTGAACTGCCGACCGAGACCCTTAAGCCCCAATCTTCTTCATCAGAAAATGTGTGTCACTTTGAATAAGCAGATCTGCTATATTATTGTTATTAAAATAATAATAATTGATAGTTTGATTGATTTGGGGAAATTCTCTTTATATCTTCCCCAACTTGCTCTCTGTAGCTGAGAGCAAGCTGGCTGAGAAGGGCAGCCACCCATAGCAGCACCCAGGGAGCTGGGGGTTAAGGACCTTGCCCAAGGACCCGCAGACGTGCTGAGGCTGGGCTTGAACTGGCAACCTTCTAATCACAGGGATAGAGGCTTAGCCCACTGAGCCACATGCTGCCCCCCCCCCCCATCAACTTTGAGTCCCCAGCTAATTTTTCTTTGAGGGCCAAATTCAGCTATACAAACCCAAGTTCCACTGCAGTAAAACTTGCCAGGCGGGGGGGGTAATCGACCTCGAGATCCTGATTAAATTGTATTTCGGAATCAGTTGGGGAGCCCTGATTTAGATGCACACACATATGCTCACATGCCCCCCATGCACTGGAGTTGACTTGCATGCCCACAGATTATGGGTTTGCTGAGGTCCTTAGTGGTCCCAGTGAAAGTCATGGGCGGATGGACGGCAGATGCGCCCGTCATCCCAGGATTTAAAAAGAAACACATCTGCTGCTCATTGATGGTGTTTCTGCATGTGATATTCTGAGATGGTTAGTTAGAAGCTAAATGAGATCATCCCCGTAAGAGGGCCGTGGCTGGCAGCAGAGGGAGGATGACTGTTTACTGCTGTCTGTAAGTCACTGCCACGTGCGTAGCTTGCTTCCGTTCCTTTGGTTGTGTGCACTCGCCGTTTGTTTGCCCGGTTTTGTTCTGGCGTCTTCCGCAGTGGGAAGTCCCGCAGAGACTGGCTTTGAAGCTCTCGTCTCAGCCATTGCAGAGGACTAGTCCGGCTTGGCATCATTATCAAACCTGTTACGTTAATATCATTGAGAATGACCGACGCAAAAGGTTGTTGTTTATGTAAGCCTGGCTCTGCCTTCAGCCGACTGAGCTGGCTCTGATCATAACGTCCATCACCATTTCTTTGGTGTCATGTTCCAAACACCACAGAATTCCAGTTGAAGTTGATTTTCTCGTTGTTCAAAGTGCCTGATTTTTTCCCTCCAGTATGGAGACATGCTTGTGGAGTTTAGCACTGATGATGGACCAGATGAGGCTTTGAAACCTTGTCTGAGTTTTTCCTTTGGGCACCACAGAAGTACCCCTAAGGCATCTGCTGGGTAGCCGGATAAATCAGACATTAACGACATTAGGTAATCCCAGTTGCCATGGATGATCAAGCTTTATTTTCTCGTGGCTTATTACTGATGGATTTCATATACATGAAACGGCATCTGCTTTGCGAGGAATTAACCTGCAACACCTTGCCAGTTGCTAAGCAACCTCTGTAGAGTTAGCAGACTCTCCTGTCCCTGTGTCCAGGCTGTGGTGGGCGCAGGATCGGTAATCTTCGATGGCTGCTGCGTTTGGGCCTCGCGGGACCGTGCGAGGTCACTCGAGAATGAGCCGAGTCAGGGTTCAATCTCAGCTGTGATCTCACAGGTCTGAAGACGAGCGACTTCAGAGCTGGAGAGCATGGGGGCTGTGAGCCAGCTGCAGGGACGGTTTGCGTGCAGGACGTCGAGCCGACTGCGCTTGTGTGCACGTGTGCTTTTGGCCTTGCTGAGGGAATGTGTATATTTAGCTGTCGTGCAGAACCATGGAAACATGCACACAAATAAGCCTTAGCTAGCCAGGTGGAATTACTCTGCAGATTTAGTTTATCTGTGTTTTTCACATTTTCCACCTTTGGGTGCGTGACTTGTGCCATAAACTGTGATGTTTTTGGCACTTTCATCCAAAATGGTCGCACCAAACTTAGCATCTGGATTTACGATGAGTTGCTAACAGGTTGCTAAGCCACCCCATAAAGGGTATGCAGTATGGCAGTGTAATAATAAATACCAGAGGAGAACTCTTGTCAGTCCCCATCACAGCTCTAATGGACTCCATATTTAAAATATGCTTTCTGGAGCATTCTGGAGTTATTTCAAATCGGTATTTGTTTTTTTTTCTTCCATTGTCTTGCTAATGATGGTTGCTGTTATTAGTTTTGTACAGATAATCCTACACCCATATTGCTGGTCGTCTGAATGTTTCGCTAATTTGATTCCTCCTCTAGGCGACATATATCACAGCATTAGGCTTCACATTTCCCGTGGTGCGTTTGCAGCTTGATTAATACCCAGCCAGATGGTGCAGGGATTACAGCGTAACCCGCAAACACTTGGTTAAGAGTCCAGACTGCATTCTGATCCCGATCCTAGTGTTTGTAGAACACGGTTCCTCCGGGTGCTAGAGTTGGCTTGGTTTGGCGTGTACCATCTGGGAAAACAACCTTGTCTTCACAGCCTGGAGATCACGCCGGTGTGTAGCACACATGGAACCTGCCTGCAGAGCACGGTGTCACCGACAGCCCTGCCCTCTGATACCCGCTTCATAGCCGCTTCAGCTAATGCAGGCCAGGTCGTGCCAACAGCAGCAGTAAATCTCTCTCGCCGTGTTTGTTCAGGCCACACTGTATCTATTTATGCAACGTTTGACACCGATGACTCTCATTCCCATTGTGTTGGGTGACTTCTCTGGCATGCTGGGATATGTTAGCATTGTGCTACGATTCTGATTCCCGATATGGCATCAGTTTGTGTCTGTGCTGTTCCGGGGGCCCATGGATTTAGTATAACAGCTGAGAGGTTCGCACGCACCGGATGAGAGAATTCGTTTCCAGGATCAGTTCTTAGCTTTATGTAGCCTAGTGACAATAAAACTAGAAGCTAATATAGTTTTCCCGCTCTTTTTCTGATTTAGCTATTAGGGAGGGAATTGCATGTAACATGACTGAATTAATAATAGTGAATACCATGTTGTGGTGTTTCCTTCTCAGATCCAAGGGAGAAAGTATTTAAATATTGGTTTATGTTTCTGACAGTAAGAGGACGTTGACGAGGTCACACCCCCCACCCCCCGCACGCCTCTCAAAGGCCAGACTGTCCTCTTTCAGGAACAGCAGGTGGCATGTTCACTACCAGTCATGGGTTTTTACACACGTATTTTCTACATTTGCATGTTAACATTTCAAATTAAATGATATTATAATAATAATAATAATACAGTCATATCTCGGTTCATGAACTTAGTTCATTTGAGGAAAAGTTTGCGACCTGAATCAATTTTTCCCATTTAGAATAATGTAAATACAAATAATTTGTCCGAACCTCAGAAACACTGAATTATTATTTTATATATATATTATTATTTTTTTTATTTGTTTTTCTGTGACCAAGAATATAGACTTAAATTAAAATAACCTTAAAGAGCAAAAAAGGGAAAGAATGAACATATGTTTACGCAAGGCGGTCCGATACATAACTGAGCGTACGCTTGGTGGCGGGCTGGTCTCTTGAAAGACGCCAAAAACACGGAAACGAACCACAAAACACCCCCCCAAAAAAATAAAATAAACAATTAACATTAAAAGGCTAAGTAACAGTCAATTTTTTTTATTATACTGTACATTATTTTCATATGCCATGCGTTGTATGGCAATAAACAACTTTGTACTTTAAACAAACAATATTCAGTTGCCACTATGTGTGAATGGAGAATATAACACTTAAATAGGAGTTACTTAATTTATGTCAGGGCTATTCAACTCACGGTCCTCAAGGGCCAAGCCCTGCTGGTTTTCCAGCCTTCCTTCCCCTGTCAGTCAGGTGTGAAGCCTCTGACCAATCAGAATCAGTAATTATTAAACCAACTACCTGGGAGAACTGAAAACAAGGCCTGGATTTGGAATCGAGGGCCTGAATTGAATAGCCCTGATTTATGTTATTAATGAAGTACTGTAATTTTATGTATAGATATGTGATTGAACCATCACAAACATGTTTATCAATCACTGAAAAGCATCGCTAAAACAGAACATTCTCTATTTTTTTTTTGTTTTTTCCAGATAATCAACCTCTGAAGAGATATAGTAAAGACATACATCTACAACAAGTTTTTTTTATACATTCCACAATGTGCAGTTCTTCGTGTTTCGGGTGCTTCTTTGGGGCGCTTTTGGGGGATGTTTGTGTGTTCGCAGCCTGAAACATGGTTCACGAACCGGTACAAAAAACTTTCGAACATCTGGTTCGTAACCTGATTTGTTCGTGAACAGGACTGTTCGTGGGCACAGTACCACTGTAATAATAATTTAAAATGCACTAAATATTCTCTGCTAGCAAATAAATTTACAGTATTTTCACCATCTGAGTACCATTATTAGCAAGAAAATGTTTCTCTGATTCATCAAAGTGACCTCCTCGAGCAGTTATAATGGTAGAGAAAATTCAAGGCATTCTTTCTACAACATTAAATACTTCTAGTTAACATTAAACATTAAATACTTATCTAGTGCATTTGAAGTTAAAGGACGGCCTAGAATTTGACTATGACATCACCACACAACCAGTTAATAGGATGTCAGACATGCAGTTACATACTCTTTCCATCTTATATAGGGAACTTATTTCATTTGATTTATATATTTTTTTTATTTATAGTTGTTCTTTCAAATTTCCAACGCTGAACAAGAATAAAAAATCTGAAGTTTATGAAATAAATGGAAAAGTGGTAAAAACCCTGTTCTTTACAGAGGAGAAAAATGAACTGCCGGCTCTCAGGAGGAAAATAATGGTTTTTTATACAATGTCTGTCACCCACGTGGGAAGCATCGGCACAGCTTTTAGGGTAATTAAATCGGAATGCGGCAGTTATTAAATGGGTTTATTTTAATCGGGTGTTACGTACCTTCTGTGTGCTGCTCAGATGCAAGGCCCCTGCTCGGAGGGAAACTGACACCATGGACACGTTTGTGGACTCGGCCTGGTACTACTTCCGATACACAGACCCTGGGAACACGCACAGGTATGTGGCTGGTGGTCCCTCTGTCCGCCTGCGCAGCGCAAGGGATTGTGGGAGTTTGCGTGCTGCTCACAGCCAAAGTTGCTTTTATAGTCGACTTCAGATATATGATGTGTGGGGTTGTACACTGATGTGAAATATTGTTCGCGTTGGTAATAGTGCAAATAAGTAATGAAATTAAAATTAAATGAAATGATGCCTTATTTGTCTTTTGCCCAAGTACAGCTACAGTAGAATGCTTCTTTTCACATATTTCATCATGCCCTCCTTTGAGACAGACAGACACACACACACACACCTGTAATCATATCTTTGCAGGGACCGCTCATTCATTTGTATGGGAAAAATGCTAATGCTAACTGTGACAGCCTTAACCCCACCCAGCCCTAACCTTCTATTCATTTCTATGGGAGAAACCCTAATCCCAAACAGCCTTAACCCCACCCAGCCCGAACCTTAACCATAAGTAGCCAAACAAAATATGAGACTTTTGGCATTTTTAGTTTTTGATTAAATTCACAGATCTTTGTGGGGACCTGACAAATGGTCCCCACAATGTCATAATAACAGGTTTTTATTACATTGTGGGGGACATTTGGTCCCCCAGTGTGATATAAACATAATCCAAATGTACACACACACACACACACACACACGCATGCACAAAGACACACACACACACACATACATAAATACATACAACAGAGAGTAAAGGTTGGGGACTGAGGACATGGTCAGGTGATTTATTTAGTACCCCAGGGTTTTTTTTGGTGGGGGGGGGGGGCGGTGGTGATTAGGGGCCTTGGTGAAGAGCCTAACAGAGATGTGAATATGATGTAAATATTGACACATATGATAATATACACATTGCGGTTTGAGACAGATAATGAAGTACAATTAATCACCTAATCGGCAGGGATGGATTGGCATTCCCTTGACCTCAGACAGCCTGTATAGTGAAAGTAATAATGAACAGGTAAATGGCTCCCAAGCGGCCAGCGTTTAAGGATTGATTCGGGTCTCCCTGCCTGTCTTCAGCAAACGCACTGATGTATAAAAATCCCAGGTCCTTTTCCTGTACACGGTCAGACCTAGACCAGTACTCACACATTCGTGAGTTCAGCTCCTGAGAAGCACAAGCACACATGTTCACACAAACCATGTGACACACTGAGATTATAGCCTGATGTCTATTACCTGAAATATCTCCACTGATGCAATTTGCTCAACAGGGATTAATCTCATGGTAAGAGCTATACCCCTCCCCCCCCCCCGGTGACCTCTTGGTGAATCTCTAATCTCTAGAGCAGTTTAATCTCTAATCTCTAGAGCAGTTTAATCTTTAATCTCTGGGAGTCTCTAATCTCCCCTGAGGTCTTGTTCCCACTGATCATCCTGGAGAATCAGAACTCAGAGCTTTCCGAGTGATGATTTGGAGGATCTGGTAAAGGTCTCACAGGAGAAAGGGGGATTTAACTTGAGCGTTGAACTGTCCTAGAAACCAAATACAGTTTTTACCGACAAAACACCGTTAAGGGTGTTGATGTCTATTTCAAAGAAAGATAGATGATTGGCTTTAAAAAGCAAAGATGGGAAAAGCTCCTACCAGAGAAAGCAGCTGTGTAAAAAATTAAAAATACGACGGCAATGTCCAGTGAATGGAAGTTTTATTACTTTTTTGCTTTGCAAACCCATTTTTTTTCTTGTATCGTATTACTGTTTATTTCTTTAATATCAGTCATGATGTTGCACAATATGTTTTTGTTTATCTATAGTATAGGTCAGGTTAAAGTGAGAATTAATGTGTAACCCGTAGATAAGCACTCAGATGTAATGGATGTTTAAATGTGACATTAAGTTATGATTGATTTATGAATGATACTGATGCATTTGTGGAATGGAGTTTGCATGAGAAGCTTAATGCAGTTTAATTTTCATCCTGAGGGATTTTTCTAACATAATTCTCAGTCGGGGACGTTGCTGTTGACGGGGGAATGGCTGCAGCAGAGGCCTGGTGATTCGACATGCGCCGGCTCATCAGTGTGATTTAATAAAGCAGACTCGTGACTTTTGGATGAATTCTGAGACACGGCTCAGCCCGGTGACACCCCACCAGCAGCCCAGCCCTCCGACCCAGAACCCAGCTGGCTGTGGGGCACTTAGAAAGCCGCTGGTTCTTTGCTCTCTTTCGCAGAGATGCTTCCGGACTCCACCTGCTCCTACGCTGATCTCCTAAGCACCACGTACCATGTTCTTTACTAGGCTGCCCCCTAGTGGACAGCACTGTAGATTCATAAGCTGGCATGTTGTTTTACCGGTTAGAATGCCCTCCGGCTGTGTCTGTGCCATCCCAAACCATGGCGCGTCTTCACCCCCCCCCTCCCCCCCAGGCCCTTTGACCGCTCCCTGGCAGACAGCTGGATGCCCGTGGATGTGTATGTAGGGGGGAAGGAGCACGCTGTCATGCACCTGTACTACGCCCGCTTCCTCAGCCACTTCTGCAGGGACCTGGGCATGGTCTCACACAGGTAGGCCTCGGACTCCGAGCGCTTGCACAGCGAGCGGGGGCATGTCAACTTGGGGGGGGGTCCTCCTCAGTAGATTATGCCGGCCACTGGCAGGTGGTGAGATTTCATAAGTTTAGTTCTGGGCCCAGGAAAACAGCACGGTGAGATGCACATCATCCACGTGAATTTTCATGCTCAGAAGGTCTTTCTCACGCTTTACTCTGTGTGCATATATGTGACACTCGGTTAATTGAGCCCTTCCTGTGGCAGGGAGCCCTTCCGGAAGCTGTTGGTGCAGGGCCTGATCAAAGGACAGACCTTCCGGGTGCCAGACAGCGGGCGGTACCTGGCACGGAGTGACGTGGACGTCTCAGGCAAGCCGGGGCGTGGCACGGGTCGGGGTCGGGATCCTGATCGCGCGCCGATGATGGCAGGCAGCTCGCCACAATCGCCGGGGTTCTAATGTCGGCGTGTTCAGCTCTGGCCAGAAGCGACAGGGTTATGTTATTACTCTTTACAGCCCCTTTCCCATCTGTCTTTTTATATCCTCACACGCGGTTACTCTAATTATAGTAACTTTAATTACATTAGTTATCGCTCCCGGTTTCAGTCTGACAATAAAGATTACTCAAGCGCTCTGTAAATGCAAAACTGCTGGCACCCATGAAAATGTGAATGGTGCTATTGTCTGGATTTTAGG